TGTAGCTATGCTGTGAAAACTCTGATTTAAAACTTATAGAGTCACCTTTACCATTGTTTGTCCATGCTGTTAACATTGTTTATGACTAGACGTAAGATAGTGGTAGCTAGCCAGGTGAACTTAGAATTAGCCCTACCACCAACCAAACCGAGCAAAAAGTTTAGCCCCCACTGGGAATCAAACATAAGACCTCTGGGTCTGAAACAGTTCAAGTCTTTCTGCATATTTTTGTGCCCCATCTAGAATTTGAATCCAAAACCTCAGCATTCTAATCACTAATCCACGCCTTTACCTCTTAGGCTGAGTTGCACCACCTAAGTTTAACAGTAACTATAACAAAAACCGGTGATTTTCGTATGGAGTTTGTCAGATTTTTGACGTTCGTTTCAGATTTCTGACAATCCTGCAACCCACCCTTAAAGTCGCAAATAAAACCGGTTGTTAATACTTGCTTTCACCCCCAACCCCCACTTTTATTACCCCACCCTTCGAATTTAATATAAACGAGACAAAGCCAATTTCACGTATTTTTAGTCTGAAATGAGTTGTTAACGACATAAAGAATGTAATCGAAAAGGCGCGTAAAAAGTAACCGGAGGAAATTCCGACGAAGTCTATTACAAGTTCTTGGAATTTTTGTAACGCCTGCAATGTTATGGTTTTGCACAAAAGAGTTGGTTATGCACTGAGAATTTCTTGTAACCGCCTCTGTGGTCTAGTGGTAAGACCACCTGCTTCAGACGCAGAGGTCCCGGGTTCGATTCCCAGTGGGGCAGATTTTTCTGTACGGTTTGGTTGGTGGTAGGGCTTGTTCTAAGTCCGCCTGGCTAGCTACCACCATCTTACCTAAGTCTGTCGCCATAACAACAAAGTTAACATTGTTGTGTTCCGGCAGTTAGAGGCAAGATAGCCAGTTCCTCCGTGGTTGAGGATTCCGGGTGAAGCTCGCTTCGACCTTCGGCTTGATCGTCACTTACCATCAGGTGAGATACAGGCCAAGAACTTCCTCGTTGTGGATAAAAAAAAAGCAAAAACTTTAAAGATCTATTTAGGACTTGTAATATAAAACACTATTGCACGTATTCAAATGAGTATTTTTGATTGCATGTATTCGTTCGTTTCAGCCAATTGACGTCCGTAATGAACTTGAAAAAATCGAACTGCCTCTAAGTGCCTAAGGCGGGAATCGAACCCACGACCATTCACTTGCCAAACGACTGCTCTTCCAACTGAACTACTTAGACACTGGATGAAACCGTCAAAATTTTTAAGTGTGAAACGCACAGCAAGTGAAAGGTCGTGGGTTCAATTCCCGCCTTAGAAAGTTCTATTTTTAAAATTGTTTATTTAAAATTGATTTGAGAAGAAACACTTATCGCTAAGAAATTTTAATAACGCAAAATTGATTGTTATGTACAGTCATCAGCACATCAGGCTACACCTTTTTGTTGCAAAACATCACCTATTTCAACTACATAAGGTGTCTATCTTGATGCAGACTGTCCGACCCTACAGTCTCTGGATAACTATAGCGTTTCTTTTCAAATCTACTTGAACCAAATCCTTGTGATCCCGTTAGAATCCTTCGCCTTGAACCATCATTTGTCTTAAGTAACCCTACTGTCGAAGGAAATGGAAAAATTTCCGGAAAATATTTGATAAGAGTGAACTAGAAAAGAGAACGATGAGAAAAGAGGTTCTGTAGGTTTTAAAAACTATTTTATCGGAATTAAACATAAATCAAAAGTATAACATTGTAAAAAGTGACTAAGAGACAAAATAGGTATACAATGAATATCAAGCTTCCCATTACATCAGTTCCTCAAACCATCTGGCCAGCGTCAAGAGTGCAGCCCAAATCCTCCTTTATCTCTGGTAAATTGGAGAGGAAACTGAGGCTGACTTGCACCAACTTACTTTAACCGTAACTATAACAATGAACCGTGTTTTTGTAAGGAGTTTGGCAGAATTTTGACGTTTGTTAAAGTTAAAGCATGGTGCAACACAGCCATAATAGTCTGATGATGATGGCTCTACTTTTTTGCCTCTGGTAAATTCAAATTTATTGTTTGTTAGTATACAGGCCCTTCTCAGGGCACTCATTCATGTCTCAAGTATAGTTTGCCCTACCACCACTTCGGAACAACATATCGGATGGTGCAGAAAAAAAAAGTGGCGGAAGAAACTCCTGCCCGTTTTCACCATCATTCCCTAATTTTTAAATGACCCCTATAAAAACAAAACTCCTGTTATGTGTTACCATATGGGTCACTTAAAAATTAACCCCCTTACTAATAAAAATTTAAACAGTTGTCGAACACTGTTTTAAAATGACATTTTCATTACTAAACGTGTCACTTTAAAACACTGTTCAACGAACGTGTAAGTTTTATTAGTAAGAGGGTAAAGATTGATGGTGAAAACGAGCATCAGTCACCTTTTAGGACATTTTAATCAATACTTCATGATGATGATAATTATGATGAATAGGGCATTGATCAGCAACAAAATAATCTGATGATGATGATCGTATCTCTATCAATATCAAAGTTATAAACTCCAAAACTTACACGGAACCCTAAAAACATCACAGCCACAATTCAACTACAGACCTCCAAAAATCAATCAACAAAATGCGTTCCGTGTATATTAAGGAAGATTTGCCGGGTTCCGTACGAACGAATTTGAAGGATTAGGGGATCCTTTTAGAAATTGATTTGAGGATCTGCAAGTCAGGACAAGCGTGTTGGCATTTATGATTTTAGGGAATCAAAGGACGGGGATTAAATGGAGAATATAATATGTATTATCAACATACTGCCGTAAAGGTACTTGCAAAATGTATTGGGTAAGATTATCCATAAGATTTGGAATCCAAAGTCGAATTATTTAAATTCAAATTAAATTAAACGTAATAAGTTATGTCTTTTACATAGGTACATGTTTACGGTAATAGATTTATTGTTTTTTATAGTAAGTTATTTTTATTTTTCCCACCTTTCGTTCCCACCGCTGCAACTCTTGTGTAGCCAGGATCTACAGCTTGACCGCCTTAAAAACCCAACCAATGAAGGTCAAGTTTGTCCCGGGGAAAGTTAAACTGTCATTGAACCCGCAACGAAATTATTTAGAAGAACATACCTAAGGAGTTCGAAATTAAGGTTCAAGTTATTTTTATTTGCCTTAGTAACGGCTCTATTTAAAAAAAACAATGTAGGTATTATTGCGTGTAAAATGTAAGTAAATGTTAGTCATGTTTTCTATCAATAATTTAATCTTACAGCACTAGAAATACCATTATTGTTAATGCATGAGCATAACGAGCTATTAATAGATTTTTTATTGTATTAACGTAACATGTATTCCCTAAGCAAACATAAACAGATCTAGGCAAATATTGTTTCAGCAATCATGTTTGTATCGAAGCTTATTATCTGGAACTAAGTATTGATAATATAATACAGTCCGTGCTAACAGAATTTAGCAATACAACAAACAAATACTGTCTGGCCTCATGGTCCGCTATTATAATCTAGGACAATGTTCATCTAGGACAGTGTTTTTCAACCTTTTTCATGACACGACCCCTAGCATGAAAAAGTATTTGGCGACCCCCCGACCGTTCGCTTTTTTTTTCATACATTTTATAATGTTACAAAGATGTTTGTAGGAAACGAAATTTTTGGTACACTGTCATTGAAAAATAAATTTTTAAGTAATTACCTTTATTAGTCCTACCCTTACTTACTTACTAAAATTAAGTTTATAAGATAATCCTATTTTACCGAGGCATCTAAAGACCACAGTACACCCTTTGCGGAACACTGCTCTAGGAGGTCGCGGGAAATAGGTATCTGTTTGAAAAGTTCTGGTTGTTTTCAATGTAGATATAACTAAAATGTGCATTTAAAAAATTCCAATATTTTGTATCCGTTGTCTGGTACCCATTGTACAAGCTTTGCTTAGTTTGGGACTAGATAGCGTTATGTAAGTCATGTCCAAGGATAATAAATAAGGTCAACTACCATTGAGCCCATTTATGCCTTTAACAACGTTTGTATCTATGATTTAAAAGTATTTTTAAAATCTTGATATCACGATTTTTGCCAAAGTAACTTTGAAAACACAGATTTTCAATTCAAACGTCCATTCCGACTTGTCGTGACCGGAAATCGAATCCGCTTTACCACGCCGCTGCTTCTCATCTGATATTATCATTTTCACTAAACAGGCAAAATGCTTATTTCCTCTTTCAAATCTGTTAAATGACTGGAAAGTCACAAACCGTTTAGATTTTAGGGATTGTTTCATTTAATAATTTAATAATCAAATTGGGTTATTTTAAGATATTCTGTACTTTTTTCAAAAAAATTATTCTATTGTAAAAAAAACTCTTCCTGGTTTTGCTGATTTTTGCACTCAAAACACTGAAGCAATTTAGCTAAAATTTGGTGTAAAGATAATGTTAGACCCAGGGAAAAACGGTCAGAACTAGATAGATAGTCTTTTTCAGGGCGAAGCTCAAAGCTTCAAGCAAAAACAGTCCACTATCTACTTATATCATTGATAACCCTGTGACGAAATATTAGCCCTTCAAGTACCTGCGAACTGAGACACCAATAGAAATCAATTTTATTATTGTTACCGCGGCCTCATGCGACCGCTTAGGTTTTGATAGGCTAGAACCATAGAGATATAGAGAGATGTCATATAATGCGCTGAGTTCGAAACTCAGTGTCGCATTAGAAATTCACACACACAAAGTAATCAAAATACTATGTGCTCATTACCCACCCACCCATTAACATTTTCGTTGTAAAATAGCATCTACTAAAACTACAAAAGAAGCTAAAATTTTTCACTTATTTTATTTTTATTTATTTANGGATATAGTTTCAGGTACTACCACTCTCTTGCTGGTTATGTCTGCTTGAGTCTTATGCAGGTGGCTGAAGTTTCTTCGAAAGATCTGTCCCTGATCTGTTTGAATGATTACTGACCTTGGTAAATCATGAGGTTTTTCTATCACTTTTGCTCCTTCCCAATGTCGATGAGCAACTCTGTGTCTGACTTTATCGTTGACTTCCAATTTTTCTGGTGTTTTAGTATGTTTGTTACTGTAGTTACTTTGTTTCTCTCTCAATCTTTGTAGTTCAGCTGTGACTCCTTGTATTAATTTGGGCTTTAAGTTTTTGTCAATAGTAGGTATTGGAGATCTGGTGATTCTACTGAAAATGCGTTGGTTGGGTGAACCTAATGTCTCATTTCTTGGGGTATTTCTCCAGTTCAGTAGAGCCAGTTGTATATCTGAATTGTCAATACTGCATTTTCTCAGAATATTCTTTGCTGTTTGAACTGCTTTTTCTGCAAGTCCGTTGCCTTGATGGTGATGTGGACTAGACGTGACATGGTTGAATCGCCACTGTTTTTGGAATGTTCTGAATTCAGTGGACATGTATTGAGTTCCATTATCAGTTTGTAGCTCTTCTGGTACACCATGGACAGCAAACCATTTTTTAAGTTGTTCAATTACTTCATATGATGACTGACTTTTCAGGTGTTGAAAATCTAGAAAGCCAGAGTAGCTGTCACATATTACTAGGTAGGTTTTACCTTTAAATTCGAATAGATCTGATGCAACAATTTGCCAAGGAAGTGTAGGAATCTTTTTCACTAGCACTATATCTTTAACATTATCTCTTTGTGTTTGTTCACATACAGAGCAACCTTTTACCAGTTTTATAATGTCTGCATATTGTCCTTTCCAGTATAGAAATTGTCGGGCTCTTCTTAAGCAGCTTTGTATTCCTAGATGTCCTTGATGAATACTCTTTAACATTTTAGGTATTTGTGATTTTGGTACTACAATTTTATCACCTTTGAAAATTATCCCTTTGTAATAGCTTAGTTCTTCTTTAAAATTAAAATAATGTTGTAATTCTGTTGGAAGGTTGTTGACATTTTCTGGAAATCCTTGTATTATTGTCTTCAAAAGTAATTGTAGGTGTGTATCTTCTTTTGTTGCAACAATTAATTCTTCTTTGGCATCTAATGACATAGGTAGTATAACAGCAACTTTTAAGTCTTCTTCTTGTTCATATTTCAGGTTAGATGCGTCGCAATCTCGACTAAGAAAGTCAGCTAAGGGTATTTCTGTGCCCTTTTTGAATATGACTTTTGGTGAGTACGGTGTAAGATTAAACATTATGCGTTGCAATCTAGCTGGAGCNTTTATTACACTATTTTTTAATCAAAAAACAAGGTTCATGGTCGATGGCCGCGCGAAAAAAAAAAGACGCCAATTTCCGGCATTGTCTTTTTAAATAAGCAACTTGAAAAAATCGAACTGCGGCGGGACTCAAACCCACGACACTTGAAAATTTCGATAGGTTCATCCAGTGTCTAAGTTCAGTTAGAAGAGCGACTGCTCTTCACTTCACTAGAACCCACGTCGTGGGTTCTAGTCCCGCCTTAGGCAATTCGATTTTTTCAAGTTGTTTATTTAAAATTTGGTATACTTATGTAAGTAACATGACAATGCAAATTTATGGTACAATTGAGCTGGTCTGATGATGGAGCCAGGAGGTGGCCATAGGAACTCCTAAATGAAACGGCGGAATCTCATCGAATTTGTTGGATTTGTCTTTTCGAGCACTTTAGTACTAGATGATGTCCAGGGTCCTGATGATGGAGTCAAGAGGTGGCCATAGGAATTCCTAAACGAAACGGTGCACTGTGGGCCCGGCAGAGGTCAAAAGTCAAAAAAATCAGTTGTCTATTAATCTTTTTTTATTTACGCAGATAGATAGTTAAAAACCTCTAGTTTTAGAAAATATTAAAGTACCAACATGTTTCTTAACAAATTGGTATACTTTTACGAGTCAGAAGTCATTGCTTGCAAGCCTAAGGACGGTTGCTATCAGCGCGTCCTAAGTTTATTGCTTTGTTTACATAAAGTTTTGTTTATAAATTGTATTTAAAACTAGTGAATTTAACAATAGAAATCCTGGAAAAAGGTAATGTGTAACTTGTTGTCAAAATTTTAAAGTTATATGGCTAGTATTAACATGTCAAATATGATGAAAATAATTGATAATTTATTGAATATTTTTAGACTTTTAGTTTAGTTCCCCGTCGTGCCCCGTAACAATTTATACGTCATTAGTTAGCTGACAATACGCTTTATTATATTTTGTATGCAATTTCACCCAAGAGTACCAAAGGTCTTGACAGTAGGGGTCCAAAGTTGCATTATTAACTTAGTTTTAAAATTCAAAACAATTGATTTTTCTGTTATAAGCTAAGAAATTCATTGCTCGTTTTCAAGATTGTTAGTATTTGAGCAATGGAATGTTAAAAAAAGTCACGAATGCTGAAAAGTCTCGTCTTGTGTACCAACATCTAAAGTTATCATTAGTTAGTGATGAGAAAAATATTGACATGCAGAATTTAGAAAATAAGAGTAATTACATGTGCAAAAAAAATTGTGAGTGTTTTAAAAAGGCATCTCAGTCTACAAAAGTTTTCAAAAATAGACAATCTGACTGGTTAAGCGATCCTTATATCACTGGTTTGCGAAATTTGCCTAAAAAAAGGAAGTCTTCTTTACCCAAAGAGTGTATTACTTTAATTTCAGTAGAATAATATAATATTATACAATGTTTTACAAAGTATTTTATTTTATTAAGAAGTTTTCCACTTTTGACCGCTGTTACATAGACGCGGGACCACCGTGCGGTGGAAACCTATCGAGTTTGTTGGATTTGTCTTTTCGAGCACTTTGGTGCTAAATTGTAAAATAAAATTAATAATGAAAACAACTTTTTTAAAAACAAGATTTTATTCTGAAATGCAGTTGTCCTAAAACGAAAAAATAATTGTAGGTACTTATGCAAGGTTCAAATAATTTCGGAAGCTTGTAGCGCAAACGCAAACTTAGAAGAGAAATAAATTCCATGCACGATACAATCTTTCGGAATTATTCGAACCTTGCATACAATTATTTTTTTCGTTTAATTATTATCACGTGTTAACGGATTAACGATTAACGTTAACTTGCGTTAAATCTTCCGAAATGTAACGTTTTAACGTTTAACGAAGTTAATTTTTTTAGTAACGGTTTAACGATTAACGAAGTTAACTATTTGATTAACGGTGCCCAGCTATGTCATTATATTACAAAAATATTTGTAACACGTATCAATAATATGTATAGGTAGAACATACTCAAATATTACTGAAATCGGAAACATCGACTTTTTTTACCTGCCCGCTTCGCGTGGAATGCCCCCCATGTATGATTTATTACAAAAGAATTGTAAATTTAATTGGACAAAGGAATGTCAAGAGAGTTTTTCAACTATAAAAAAGGATATTGTATCTGACAATGTACTAGTTCATTTTAATAGGAACCTGCCATTGAGACTAGCTTGTGATGCAGCTCAAAATGGAATAGGGGCAGTCTTGAGTCATGTCATGCCAGATGGGACAGACAGACCTATAAGTTTTATTTCTAGAGTTTTCACTAAGGCAGAGAAAAATTATTCAATGATTCACAAAGAAGCTTTAGCTATTTATTGGTCAGTACAAAAGTTTTATCAGTATCTAGTAGGTACCAAGTTTGAATTATTATCAGATCATAAACCTTTACAGGCATTATTTGGTGAGAATAAAAGCTTACCACAGATGGCAGCAGGGCGCTTGCAAAGATGGTCTTTGTATTTAGCTTCATTTGATTATACATTTAAACATGTAAAAGGTTGTGATAATGTAAAAGCAGATTGTATGTCAAGAATGCCATTAAAATGTAAAGAGAGTTTTAATATTAATTGTAAAAAGGAATGTGACTATATTAATTTTGTTGAAGAGCAAAGTGCAATTGATTTAAATGTCATTAGATCTGAGACTAGGAAAGATTCAATTTTGAGTACAGTTTACAATATGATTCGATATGGTTTTCCTATGGCAGTGAAAAATGAATCTTTAAAACCATTTTTACAAAGAAAAAGTGAATTGTACATTGACAAAGGTGTAATTATGTGGGGGTATCGTGTTGTTATTCCACATAAATTACAACAGCATTTTTTGAAGGAATTGCATAGTACTCATGAAGGAATAGTCAAAATGAAGAGCAATGCTCGTTCATACTTTTGGTGGCCTGGTTTAGATAAATCTATTGAAAATTATATTAGAAATTGTAATCTGTGTATGTCGGCCAGACCAGAACCTGAAAAATGTAATGTAATTCCATGGCCAAAGTGTAGTGCACCATATGAGCGTGTGCATGCAGATTTTTTAGGACCTATCAATGGCAAAACTGTATTAATTATTATTGATGCTTATTCAAAATGGCCGGAAACTTTTGTCATGAAAAGTTTAGATTCAAAAAGTACAGTAGAAAAGTTCAGGGAATGTTTCAGTAGATTTGGTTTACCTAAAGTTGTTGTCANTGTTATGTATCGTTATTTTATATCGGTATTTAATTTGTTATTATAAGCGCGTATCCAAACGTAGCTAGTTTAAAAGCATTATTCAGGATGTGTATCCGAGATTCTTTCTTCTTGATACGCCAGACAAAATGGCGATAGGCAATCTTGTAAGCTCTGTGTTTAATCGAAAATAAAAGACAGTATCTTCAAATAGAAACAACTTTTATTTACGTCTCCAAGGCGGAGACATCACAGAAGCCATAAATGATATTAACTACACTTGAGTATGGATGATGAGATGATCAATAATTAAATTGATCTTATCTCCAAACATTGAAAGAGATCATAAGGCAGGCGCGTTAATCGTAATCGCAATAACCTTTTGATAATAATTAAAATTTTATCGAATCTAATACAATATTATCTTTAATATCATTTACTAGCTTAATTAGATCTTTACCTATTTGGTGCGTGATGATACCCCTTATAACTTGTGACTGAGGAGTCACAAGTTATAAGGGGTAATACGCACCAAAGACTGAGGAGTCTCAAATCAAGCTTTTGTAGATCAGTTTGACGTGCCTACTGGCAAAGATAATTTATATAATTAGGGTCAGATTTCAGATAATCGCAGCTATGTACAAGTAGTGTAAATGAGATTTAATTCAATATTATTAAGTCGGCCTACACTTATCTAATTTGATATTTGCGTGTAGTATGGTCACATTACTCCGTCAAGGTTTTGAGTATAATGTTCTCCAAAATGAGATGAGTTCAATTTGCTACGGTCTAACATCTAAGTCACACCACACCATAAAATGTTACATATTATTCACAAAGCATACCTAATACATCGAATAGATATTTTATCATAAAGTATTCAAGGTTATAAGAACCAATAAGGTTCTAAATCGGATTAAATTTGACAAAAAATAAGCTCTAATCAACACAAATTCATAAATAATGCAAAATATTTCTTGTTACTTCCTACTCCAAATTAAAATAAAATTAAGCTAGTATTTTGTAAAAAACATTTTAAAGATACAGAAAAATAAAAACTTCAGCTGATCTTCCTGGGAAAAAATGCAGCGAGACTATTTTGGATAATATTTTAAAGTTGAGATGTTAGCTCTATATCCGTAAAGGAGTAATCTTTTAATCAAGAGTCGTGTTCTACACAGAAAAATGTGTGCGATCACTATCTTCATAATGCAGTGCATTAATTCCTGATGGGACATGCGGAGCAACAATGTAACTGAGATGAACTTAAAAGCTAGATTGCCGGCCATAGGCGGCCGTGCCAGAGCCCTAAAAAGGTTTGCGAACCCATTTTGAACAATAAAAACAAAACAAAAATAGCTTACTGTTATGGAAAACATGACGTTAGTGTCATTCTTTGTAAGTTATGTTAAATTCGTTGGCGTTGCACCACATCTGTGTTCCTATTGTTTCATATTTGCCGAAATTGGCTTTTTTGACGCTACAGTGAGTAGCATAACTACTATTGTCAACGTAGGTATGAGGCAGGTTTATGTGTGCTAGTAAACATTTTAAATACACACAGAGGATTTATAATATCGCAAGGAATTTGTTACGCTCATAAACTGCCATCATCTGGGATGTAGATAGTTTTTTGAACCATGATGAGCTGGCTGATGTTGATGCTAATGAAGTACATCATATTTGAGCTGAGACTACCGAATCCTATATGACGATAGTGATATATAAGAAAATAAGTTTTCCTTTTTGTCTTTCAGTGGAAAGACAGAAAGGAAAACTTCTTTGCGATCATTCGCAGCTCTCAAGAGCTTTTTAATTATTTTTTTTTAATTAGCGATATTAAGGATCTAATTCTACGAATTGCTGCTAGTGCAGTGTGCTGAACGAGTACGAGAAACTGTTATGGATCTGTCCCCTGACTACCTTCAATCTTTAAGGGGCACGCAGGATACATGTTGTTTTACCATCGTAATAAACGAGTAGAATCCTTATTCTTTTTTAATTCTATATTTTACTCATTCCCTTTTTCATTGTTCTTCAAAACAATGGTCTCAGTCCGCCCCTGGTATTGTTGTCAGTCGGTCCATTTAGTGCGGCGTGAGAGCACGCGGGTGCAGTTGCAACACCGCTGTCGTGAATTGGACTCCGGTGGCGAAATGCTGATGAGCAGAACGTCTCATGCCACTCCATGGGGTTTTGGATTACTTCGATCATTTGGGATGTAGAGCAATGAAAATTATACTTAATTCTGCTTCTGTTAGTTCATCGTTGTTAGGCAAGAAAAAAGCTCGCTCAGAAAACCCAGAGAAATCCATGCAACCCAAGAAAGCCATCGCATTGATATTACTACGGAAAGTAAATGGCTCTATCATAGGTAATGTCGTATTTTTACGACGACGCATATGTTATTTGCTATAGGATTAGAGTGATAACTTAGAAGATTTCAGACTAAATTTTGTCGCAAAGGAAAATAGAGGGGGTGAAATGGAGGATCATAGTCTGAGTTGCATAAGGTAGAGCTAAAATGAGCTTCAAAATGGTTTCATTTTACGACGGACAATCATGGGGATTTAAGCGATAAAGGCTTTCTGCAAGACACTGAAATCTAACGTATTTGGAATAAGGTGTACTTAAGTTCGTAGTAAATTCAAACTTGAAACAATTTTTAAGAATCGTGGCCAGTTCTTAGATAAGACAATAATTTTATCAAGATCTAGTCCCTCTAATATCTCCACATTAGGAGAATTCTGTCGAAATGATAACAAAAAGTAATCTCAATTGTAAATGTATCTTGTAATGATGGTTCATTAACTTGACCGCAACTCTACATTTATCTTAGGAAAGATGATATTCATCAGGACAATATCAGTCAGAAAATCAAGCTGGAGATAGCTATTTATTTGGTTACCAAATAGGTAATCAATGTAATAATATTACATCAGTGGTTCTGTTCTGAGTCAATATTTAAAGTTTCAATTTTGATATGGAAATGCAGCGTATTAGCACAATGCGGGTGTTTGTTAGGTTTTCAATTTTCATATAGGGAACCTTTTCGACATTGGATATACGGAATGTATTTTTTATGTAACTGCCTATACATGAGCTTACTGTTTAATGCAATAATAATTTATTATTATACTCGCATCTTTAGGCTACATATAGGGGTCAAGTTCACTTTGAACAAATACTTTGCAAAAGCACTATTAGGTCTAAGATTCGGTCATAGAAATATTGAAATAAAATAGTAAAATACATACGAGCAATTCAAAAAGGGGATATCGACATATTTCTAATACCAATCACGGTGTGTTGTATTACCATCAATAAATTTTAATTATTGATGTACTAGTAAGATCCTCGAATCGATTACTGCTACCCAGTAATTATATCATGTCAAAACACACGGTCAATGTCAACAGCCGGCTATGGCAGTGCGTATTACACTATATTCAATAGGCTTAGCACATGCTATACTTCAGACGTACATCACGATCATAAACATAAACATCATCATTGAAAGTGTTTTGCTAATGATGTACAAGTATCTTTTCATATCAAATTAGAGATCTATTGACCTATTTGTTAAACCTCGATAATGATCCCATGAACATCGACCTCATTCAAAAAACACGATCTCAGTTATTGTTTACCGCGGCGTTCTAATTTTTGGCCCTACACCATCAATGACTTAGAGAAATGATGAAACTCACTTCAGACCATGACCTTACAGCTCGTAACAAATAGATCTCATAACGATCTACGCCACACTAATGGAGTCATGTGAGATGATCATTACACCAAGGTGAGACAGCATCACAATGATTTAGCCATGAAAACAAAGCACACGGATACATTCTGAATGTGATCCGATGATCCGGAAAAATAATGGATCAAATGTAATCACGATTGAGGATATCCAATGATATCAGTGTACGAGTACAAGAAGTGCTCCGTTTGACGCACGTGAAGCATTTTTTGCTATGAGAACTGGAGAAAAAAAGCTTTTAAATGGAGTTCATTAAGGTTTTACTGGTAGTCTCATCCATTCAATACAGGGCATTGCTGACAATTGTTTCGTTTCAGCCGAATGTCGTCCACAGCTAGACAAAGGCCTACCCTAAGGATTTCCACAACGACCTGTCCTGCGCCGCCTGCATCCAGGCACCTTCCGCTGCCTTTACCAGGTCGTCGGTCCAACTAGTAGGTAGCGCCTAGTGAGGCAATTGCTAACAATACTAACTAAAAACTAAAAAACTCATAAAACTCATTTATTTTTGCAAATAGGCTTTTAAAAAGCACTTTTACCACTGCTTCGGGACAATAAATGGGCCAGTGCTGAGAAGAAACAGCGCAAGAAACTCAGTCACCATTGTCAGCCTTACTTAAAAAATGAACAAAAAAGTTTATTTATCAAGAAATATTATCTAAATTAAAGATAACATGTTATCTAATTGGAAATGAAATAATTTTGTTAATTGGATTCCAGACTGCGGTGAGATAAAGGTGTCATCCGATTATGGTTTGAATTATTTTGCTCAGCAACATTGTAGTTTAAAAGTCCTGCCTATTGTACGGTACTGAATGTTAAACACTGTGCATCTGCATCTTAAGTTATTAGCGTAGGTGCTATTTTACAATAAACAGTACGGATGTACCGTTTGTACATGAAAATTAAGCAGATGGTAGACTGTACAGGAAAATTAAGCGGTAATTTTTAATTGTACTTACAATTTAGTTGCATTCCTGAACGCAACAAATTACTAATTAATGAAAGTGAACATTTCGTAATACTTTTCGTTCTTCTATAACAAAGTGTAGTAGCGTTTGATTGACTTTAATTAATAGTTAACCAGTGATTTCTTTACCAATTGATTGGCTTCTGAACTGATGTTATTGAAATCGACCTTCACGGTAATCTAAAGTACCATATGAGTACTCCCAGGGGTTATTATAGGAACAGCAAGTACGCAGTGTTCATTTAGGCGAACGCTCTTTTGTTTTGCCAACATGTAATCAATCTATCAGTTGTCAAAAGAAGCTTTTACGAACAACAGCAGAACGTGACTTCAAACAAGTAAGTCCTAATTATTATCGATTCAGCGAGCCGACTTACGATAGTTTAGGATTACTAAATTCAGTCTCGATCATGGGACGCCACTGTAGAACAGGCATGGGATGTTAGGTGTAGGTATACAGCCGAGTTGTCACGAACCAGCAACAATCATGTTGGCGAAAATAGTCACGTTTTGTGATAAGCATCACCATATCAAGGACATAGCAAGGATGCTTGATTGTGTTTTGTTTTGCTAAAACAGGTCATTGAGTGAGATCAGTCCTATTCGTAAAGAGTAAGATTTTAACTTATTGTCCAAATTATAGCCAGAGTGGGGAAAAACCATTACTTATAATAAGAAATCAAATGGCATAATAATGTGTCTTTTGTTTGACCATGGTCTACGAGTTCAACGACCACAATTTAGTTTGCTAAATGAGCTGACTAACAACATTAGATTAGATCATTAGAATAACGAAACTACATATTTATAAAATAACGTTCTGATTCAACTATTTTCACTTTAATTAAACTTAGGAGCGCTCCAAAACATTAATTACTAGATATTTTTTTCCCAGTCCATTATGCAAAAATAAAAGTCACCAACAACAATAACATTAAGGTCAAGTTCTCGCAGTCTCGCTGCATTTTCATAACAAAACCACCTGCTCGCACCGAGTTTGAAAAAGAACTAGATCGTTACAATAATGTTGCACTTGACCGATTTTTTTCGACAAACGATGGATAGTCGAGACAAAGGCCTTGTTTCTACAATTCTGAGCTTATGAACTGACAATGGATGCCCACGCGCATCACCCGCCCACTCATATGGAACGGCGATTTGCACTCGTTTAGCGACGCTGCAATAATAAAAACTGAAGGCGAGGTAACTTATGCTGAAAATGTGACAGGTTTCAATTGTCCATTCAACTAAAGCATTTGTTTATTTTCGCCTTGCTTGAGAAACGCCCCCGCGGCTACCTTCTTGACCAGCGATATAATCTTGTCGTCTCGGTAATTTAAAGTTTAGTTTAGTTATAAGGATTATGGAGTAGAGTTAATCCGCCTTACCAACTGGCACATTGGGATGTGTAAATAAAACTTGATTTTTGAAAATACAACTTGTGGTTTTAATGGCTTCCGAATTGCGATACAGGCATAGACAATACAATCATAGACAATGACAGTTCAGAAATGCAAATAGTGATGTCTTTACTTTACATCTCCCTTTCTTTGTAAATAAACAGAAAACATCATGTTGTACCTACTTTACTTACTGCTTACATGTTGACTATGACTCAAGGTTAGGCACAATTTAATACAGCACAACATATTTATGATTATACTAAGATCTAGTTAGTTATTTAAAGATTATTAAATGCCTAGTACATGTATACACATAATACAGGTAATCACTGTAACACTTATGAACATAATATCATAGCAAGATGTATTCAATGCTTAAAATAGGCTCTAATTTATCATATAGACAATAGTATTAATTTAGTATCTTAGAATTAGCTGAACAAGTTATTTTTCAGTTAAGGTAAGTATGTCATGAATGATAGGTAAGTATAACATAATTTAAAATACATTATGGCAAACTATTACACATATCAAGTAAGTATTATTCAAAATCAGGTCTTTTGACTGGTTTAATTACTCTACCAAATCTTGAAACACGGNAACCTTTTCTGGATCAGCTTCAAGTCCATTGGCTGACACTATATGTCCCAAAAATTTTATTCTTTGTGCCTCCATAATGCACTTATTTTTGTTAAGTTTGAAACCTGATTTATTCAAAACATCGATGACTTCTCTGACAGTTTTGTGTAATTCATCCTTACTTTTGGCATAAATAAAGATATCGTCGATTGCTACTCTCACATTTTGAAACTTACAGAGCAAATTACTGAGTATTTCTTGGAAAATTTCAGGTGCTGATGAGACCCCGAAGGGAAGTCTTTTGAAAGAGTATCTTCCCCAAGGCGTAGCAAATGTAAGTATCTTTTGTGTCCTCTCTGTTAATCTAATCTGCCAGAACCCTTTGGTACAGTCAAGTAATGCAAAATACTTTGAGCCTTTTATGTCTGCTGATATTTCTTCTATCGTTGTGAGTGGGTAATGACGTCGGAGAATATTTTTATTCACATCAGAAGGGTCAATACATATTCTAATTTTGTCCTTCTGCCTTACCACTACCATTGGGCTCACTGCAGGAGTTGGCTCAGTCTCTGGTTTTATTACATCCATCTTTACCATTCTATCTAGTTCATGCTTCACTTCTTTTCTTATTGCATGTGGTATTCTTCTAGATGGTTTTATTTCAAACTTTGGATTTTCGATTAAGTCTATATCATATTCGTAGTTCTTATAGCATCCTAGGCCGTTAAATATGTCTTTGGTGCTCTCTTTCAGTGACTTTACTCGAGCAATGAGTCTTAATTTCTTGCAGGTTTCGAGTCCCAGAATCGGTGTAACCCTCTCCTCAACTACTTTGAATGTTATATTGGTTTCTTCATTTTTTATTTTGCATAGTAGCTCTGCTTCACCTAAAACAGCCATTTTGTCATTTGTATAGCTTATCAAATTTTTTGTCTTACTTGCTTTTAAACTTGCTTCAGTTTTTTCCATTAGGTGCTTGGGCAATACATTGCATTCTGCTCCGGTGTCTAATTTTGCAGTGAATTTTACATTACCAACTTGTATACTTTCAGACCAGTCTTTTTTTTCTCCGCTACATAACACTGATATGAATACTTCGTCTTCTGAATTTGAGCTTTCTTCTGTTGCTGCTGTATTCACTCTGTTTTTATTCTTTTTATCATCATATTTCTTTTTTGATTTGCACATATTTGCGAAGTGACCATTTTTCTTGCACTTATTACATGGTTTGTTAAAAGCTGGACATTCTCTGCGTTTATGGTTTGTACCACATCTTTTACAGTCAAAATTCTTGTTTTGTTCTCTTTTGTAGTGTGTCGTATTTTTCACCACGGATACTTTATCTATTTTGTTTTTATTTTCGAACTCGTCCAATTGTTTTGAAGCTTGTTCACTGGTTTTGCAGATAGTTATCGCCTTTGTCAAGTCTAATTTGTCTTCTGTCAACAATTTCTCTCTTACTTGATTAGATCTGATTCCAAATACTATCTTGTCTTTCAACATTTCGTCGAGCAAATTGTCGAATTCACATTTTCTTGCTTGGGTCTTTATTCTGGTCAAGAACTCATTGAAATGTTCATCTTCGTTTTGTTCGATCTTGAAAAATATGTATCTCTCGAAAGATATGTTGGTTTTTGGCGCAAAATACTCAACAAACTTATTTATGATGGTTTGCAGGTTATTTTTGTCTGCGTCGCTGAGATTGAAACTGTTGTAAATTTCGATCGCGTCTGGACCTATTACAGCCATAAATGTTGCAGCTTGGACCTTGGCTGGCTTTTTCTCCAATTGAATAGCTGTGGAATACCATTCAAATTGCTGTAACCAGTTTTTCCAACATGTTGGTTTGTCCGAGTCAATTTGCAGGTTAGGTGGTGGCTTTATTCCAGATACTGCGTCGTTCGTGGCCATTTTTCAACTTTATCACTTTATGTTGTTTAACTTTTATACTTTAGTTTTACTTCTGACACCATGGCACATTGGGATGTGTAAATAAAACTTGATTTTGGAAAATACAACTTGTGGTTTTAATGGCTTCCGAATTGCGATACAGGCATAGACAATACAATCATAGACAATGACAGTTCAGAAATGCAAATAGTGATGTCTTTACTTTACACCAACAAAGAATAATTGCCATTGAAGGCATTACTGCGAGCCATGATGACTATGCGAGAACTGCCAGTCCATTCACATGCGAATAACGTGTAGCAGAGTGAAGTGACTGTATGTAATCCAATAGTAGGTAAATATTCACGAATGTTATATATTATCTGTGTTATAACTATAAGGTGACTGCTCCTCGAAAATTTTGTTACGGTCAATCCAATTACGGAGACCACATGACTCGAGTGAGTAATAGAATCATTTTTAACGTAGTTTTTTATACAGTACCTAACCATCAACGTGCGTGACACACATTAACTTTTTACTTGGAAGTCGTTGTTGTGGACTCTATATTATTCAACCTGTCACCGCGTGACGCGCAACTTTTTTATTATTATAGCTTAGTGGTAAAATGAACCTGGGTAGCAATGCCAAGGCTCAGTCCGAGGTGACTGTTAGCATTTTGGTCAGCAATCGTTTAGTGTATGAGTTTTTTGGATAACCGTAATAAAATGGTACTCTAAATAGAGCATATTGGGGGTTCTATGTATATCAGTAGGTAGACTGCTATATGTATATTTTGTTGTTATAATTGGTTCTAAGCAAATGTCAAATTAATAAGTCGATCTTTATATTATACGCATGTCAACTGTGCCCTAAAATTAATCCTAGAAACTGAGATCATACTCATACCAATCGTACTGGACACGATTGCCTTCACGAGATATTCGATATAGGTATGCACTTTGTTAGGAAATCGGTAAACTAAGTTCGTGTGGGTATATTTACCTTAATTAGGGTAAAGCGTGCACTAAATTGGAAGTGTTACTGGTGTTACTAATAAAGACATAATACAGGTAAGAGGATCTATACTTATCTACTGCAGGTCTGGGTGTAGACAAATTATTTAAATTACACGAGTGCATCAATTCTAATGTGATGGTTGACTTTAGTTTCAAGCGTGATTGTTTTGTTAACCTACGAGACGAAAGGTTGCAAACGTCTAAAAATAAAACAAACATCGTTATTTGTCAATAATTTAATCCTAGAGACAAGTTACGTCATCATCACCAAGCACTGAACTATAAAATGTTTACATGACGAAACATATTTTCTTTGAAATGATTGATTTCTCAATGGGCAGATAATAATGTGTCTTATATTTGTAAGTTTTCCGGGTGAAAGTAAGGGAGTGTCCGTAGAGAGGCCAAGCTCGAAGACGGTAGAGCTATCATCTTGTGTGTAGAATCCGCAATGTAGCGCGAAACCAGTTCATGTGATAGGCAAGTCTGCGGTATAAACTTACAACCAGTACCGCACAGGTAGGTAGGAGCTTTTAAAATGTAACGTTACGTACTCCTTTACATAGAACATGACATTCAATTGGCACAGTTCAGGTCAAGTTAGATAATTTAAGTTCATAAGAACTTGAGAAATTAATAAAGTAAGCTAAAACAGATTTCAGTTTCAAAGTTTCCCTTTTAAATATCATTCCTATTTTAGAAGAACATCATAAAACTAGTCACAACTGACAGTCAAAATTAAATATTGTTACCAGTGAGTGCTCCTAGTGAGTGACTACCTTAATCAGTGAGTAGGATCCATCTAGAGCAGACTAACTGATGAGTGGGATTAGAGAGGAAACATTAATTTTGCTGCGGATCGTGCAACCATGGGAAATACTGTGATTGGTAATGAATAGCACAATAAGAATGGGAATATTCAATATATTGAATTGAATTACTTATAAAATCATAAAACATAATGTCATGCTTCTCCATTTGTATTCAAGAAAATTCAGTTCGATAATGACACGCTTTAAATATCCGTGCAGGCTAATAGAATAGGCATAATTATATTCTTGCTCATTTTTTTTTTATGCTAGATTAGGCAGGTATTTGTAACAGTAAATATTCAGTACGGTTAAACGGTATCTTTGAAACGATGTGTAAGAAGAATTTCAACCAAACACCTAAAATTAATTAACGTTCTTTTGGCATTACAGTTTGAATTAAGCTTTTATTAATAGTTTTTATGACACCCTTCTAATTGCCAAGATAAAATTAGTCAAGAAGTTTATAGATGTTTAAGCAAAGTGCAACAACGTTAGGTTTATAGCTTATCGTCCAATAAGAACTCTGAGACATAAATTCTGCTACTTTATTAGTGTAATCGTGTTTTCTTTACAGTTAAATCTTATTACAGGCGGTTAAAGTAAAATATCATCTATGGCAAGGACTGCGAGTCAAGAGAAATGTAAGGTTATGAGGTCATTTTTACCATTACACTATAACATGAAACAAAAAACTAGCACTTGCGGTTTTTAAGCTCTACAATAAAAAATATACTTACAGTGAATGGTTTTTTTTTTCATTATTTAATGTGCTCTATTTCACCGATTAAAAGCTCTGGAAAGCTTTAGAAAATAATACAATTCATAATCGTACAACGTAATAGCATTCTATGGATCCTAAGGGTATATAAACCACATAATTATCGTATCTCTTGGTCTAATATGACAATGCCTGCCAGCTTATACCTATGCGAGTTGCAGGCCAAGAGCTAAGCTAAGTTAGTTTACTTTAGCTCGCATAGGTGAAGCAGTTTTCCATAATTATGCTATGCTAACTCAGCTTAGTTCTTGGTCTGCTACCCAGATTAAACTCACGCTGATAAGCTAAAGGAAAGCCCATAGTGACACCGTTACAAACAACAAGTCATCTTTAACTACGGAACCCTTTGGTCCGTCATTATCCACTCACTTGGCCGTATTTTTACGTAATTTATCAATAATGATTTCGTTTCTACTACTTACTCGTACTTATGTCATCTTAATGCGAAGATGACGAGACGTTCTTTATGTTTATAATAGTGATTTATAGGTGCTAGTATAAGTATACAGGGTGGAAACGATAAGTGATCTCACTCGATTATTTCTAAACTACACAAGATATTGAAAATCTTGTTACTGATCCTGAAAGAGCTTCACGAGCTCTTTGTAACGGTATCAGTAATAGGTTACAGAATTAACTGGATCTATCCGAAAATTCAATGTTTTCAGCCTCCATACTAAATGTATGCCAGCCACACAATATGGAATGTGTATTTTTTTAAATTAAATATAAACACTTAAAATGAACTCGTAAATTGCATTCTTATTTCAAATGATTCATGGAAAACATTGGTTCTACGTGGGACACTATTTAAGTTGTGAGCCTAACTATGAAAATAAAGTAGTTTATTATTAAAATGGTATTGATCGCGTTTATTGGTATGGTCTTTCATGATTTATGTACTTTTTAATGTGTCCGAAACACTTTTCATAGCATTTTTTCCACTCAGCTTGAGGCACCTCCAAAGTATGTTTTTTGACCGCACCGACAGTTGCTTCTGGCTACATAAATCGCTGTTCACGTATTTAATTTTAATATATGGGTACCAAAAGAAATGTTTAGATTCCAAGCAAGAAATTTGTAGCGTTGGACCTGTTTATTTCATATTTTAAGTGTTTAAATAGTCAGTTGTTTGACGAGACGTGTAAAAGCTCACATTTTCGTCACGAATGGGGATTCGACTATGCTGGTCAGTTTCCCTTATTAAACTGAAGACTTTTGGAAAAAAGTGGCTGTTTACTATTAAGAATTAACCATTCTAAATTTCTCTACTGACGTTTCTGTCATATAATCGGATATTTCTGAAAAATAGGCGACCGTAAGTTTCAAAGTGTTCCGAGCGCAAGGGACTTTTGTTGGAATTGGTTCATCTTAAAACCCCTCCATAGTCGATAGCTGTTTATTTTCAGGATCATTATGCATAGATCCTTAATTCGTCAACTGTTACAATTTTCAAAACGGGTTTTAAAGCTTTTTAAACGTATTTATCAAACATTTCCAAGGACTAAACGACACAAGCGTCCTATTGAGCGTTTGAAAAATTTTGTGACATCCAGCGAGAAAAAAACGTATTAACCATAATATGGTCATACAATATATTATTACTGCTAGTGGAATTAATGCCTAGGATTATCTCAATCATACGATACATCACATGACGAGGTTTCTCTTCCATTTTTCTGACAACATCAATGTGTTCCGCCACTATTAGTCATTTTGGACGACTTTCGCAAAGTTCACTGGTGAGCCAATGACATACAATATTATACTTCCTTAACTAGCGTTTTACAATGGTAACGGACAGATCTTTATCACCAAAAGTGAAATTTAGCTGACCGCTTCAGTTTTGTATTGATTAACCACGTCGAAAGTCATAATAAATCTTCGCGCGAAAATTGCCGCAAGTCAATTCCATGTTTTTGTGGTCAAGATAATTTTCAATTCAATGTTAATAGTACAAAACGTGCTCAAATGATAAAAAGTTTTGAATAAGGTTGTAGTCAAAAATGTCAAACTTTTCATTAAAAGTATCAGATGTTGTCTAACAACACGTTATGTTGTCGAGGCTCACAACTTAAATAGTGCCCTAGTAGGCTTTACTTGCTATAATATTATCAAGACATGAGTGCCATGACTGTGGCAGTACTAAATGTATGGAAGTTAGAAACATTGAATTTTCGGATAGATCCAGTTCATTTTGTAATTTATTGTTGGTACCATTGGATAGAGCTCGAGAAGCACTTTCAGGATCAGTAACCAGTTTTTAGATAGCTTGTATAGTTTTTAATATTAAGTGGTTTTACTAAATGTATGGAAGCTGGAAACATTGAATTTTCGGATAGATCCAGTTTATTTAGTAACCTATTATTGGTACTGTTAGATAGAGCTTGTGAAGCACTTTCAGGATCAGTAACCAGTTTTTCGATATCTTGCATAGTTCAGAAATAATCGAGTGAGATCACTTATCGTTTCACCCTGTATGATTGAGTCTTCATAACGTGTTTATTATTCGTAACTTAGTCCCTATATTTTTGAAGTGGTTATATATTTGCAATTTTTAAGTAATGTTGACTGATAGACTAACAGAGAGACAGTCTACGGCATTGGACCATTG